TCTATTTCTAAAATTTCTTCAAACTCTTCTTTGATGCCATATTTAAACCTTTCTTGAATATTCTTGTCTATAATATTCTGCCTGCTTCATGAACCAGATCATCTTGTGTTATCTGTGAATATTACTGGCAACTTTCTCAGTTTGTTTGCTTTGCACATAATCATTACTTTATTCAGTTTGCTTTTTCCTGTTTTGTTGTTGTTCTATCTTTCATGTTTGGTGCTTTCCTTGACTAATCTCTACTTTAGAACCTGCAAAGGCCAAATCCTAGAAGCAGAATCTTTGTTCGCCCTTCACATGGCTCTTTAGTTATGATTACGGTTGAGATGGTAGAGGTCGTAAATCCTGTTGTGGGCACGTTGTGTCAGAACCACGTCTCTCCAGTGTCAGAATTCACTGAATAAGGATGCTTGCAAACATAGAGACTTCTCAAGGCTGCATTTGACTGAGCAGTCTCACTTCCTCAGCTGGTTAGATAAAATGCTAACAACGCTGGCTGGAGAGTTGCTGGAACATATAAGACTGAGTAGTCGTGTGGTCAGGCTGAGCTACAGAAGCACCAAGATGCTTGCGGCAAGGTCCAGGATCAGATCTGAGGGTTGGCCTGGGGAACACATGAGGACAGTCCAAGTATGTCACAAGCAGTGACATTGGGAGTGCCCTGCCTCTTCACCCTTTGACACTTGCCCAGGTGCATCAAGTCAGTGGGACCCTGGACGTTACAGTGTCCGTGACCTTGTAAAAATGGGGCATTCAGGTTGAGGGTATCGAGTCGAGTCCTAGGCCTGGTTTTCTGGCGTAGTTTTAACAATCCATGTGCCCACCTGTTCCCACTCTTCATTAGCAGGGTTACAGGTGACACTGTTTCACCCGTAGGAATAACTTATTAGTCTCTATCTCGTGGGTGGTGCTGGATGGGTGGGTGGTCTCTTAGAGCATCAAGGAGGACAGTTGTGCTGCCTCTGCATCTGTAGTTCAGTGGCGCCAAGTGCTTCGTAAAAAACTCACCCAGGGCAAGGCAGTCTGAAAACCACAGTTTCACACGGCCTCGCAGTGACTGCACAGGATGCAGTCTCCTCTCCCCAGAGCTCACAGATGCTTCCATGCCAAAAGGGCTCCAAGTTTCAGGACTGCTAGACCCAGCTAAAAACAGCTTCACCTTTAACATTTGGTGAAAAATAAGCATTAAGTTTAAACTATCTAAACATTCTTTAAAATGTCTACATAGGGTGTTTGCCAGCTTCCCAGTAAAAATGATGAACAGGAATATCCACACAGAAGAATTGATATCAGGTATGGTTCCAGTTGTTTGTTGCAAGCCCTCTATTTAAGGTGACATGCGTATTCAGGGCCACCTTTTTTTAAAGGGATGATAAATTTCTATGAAATACAACGTTAGGCTGAATTGTGTACAGAATGGTGAATGCCCATAGACAATCAGTCTCTCAAGGTCTGTCCCTCACCAGAACACCAGCTGATGTGGCTTCCTGTGTTGTAATAAATAGGTGCTGCTTTTCACTTAACTCACAGCTCTAGCAAAGCTTCCTGGGTGTAGCTGGAGTTTGGAGGTAAAATCCCAGGTTCTGGCAGCCCCATCAGCCTTGCTCATCCTGATACATGAGATAAAGTCAAGTAATGGTGAGCTACTCAGACACGGGCTCTGTGTGTCCACGCTGGGAAGAACAGACATAGCTTCTGACATACAGGACCCATTGTCTGGGCACCAGCCTGAGCTTAGGTCTAAATTGGGGAAGAATCAGGGACTGAAGGGGTGAGGTATGCACAGTTAAGCAATTCTGGCAAGGTGTGGCCCTAGGTCCATCACTGCCTCTGCCCTGGTCCTGCACACTGGCCAGGTGGCTCTGGGTGATGATTGTTTCTGCTCCAGAGTGCAGCCTTAGCTCACCAGTGATGGCCTCCATCCCAAGGATGACCTGCACTGCTTGAGGTCTCCCCATTCTGGAACCCTGGGTGACTCAAGAGGTTAAGGGAAAGCTGGGGACAGGGACCGTGGTGAAAGTAACGCAGAAAGCATAACAGGACACACGAGTATTACCTTCTGGGTCCAGACTAGTAGGCAGTGTGTTTAGAAAAGCAACTTCTAGAAGCTGCGGTCCCCAGTTTCAAGCCAAGGTGATAGGATGGTCATCAAACAGTCACCCTAAGGTCTGCTTTCTGTAGGTGTTAGAGCATGTAGACTTACTTCAGGCATTTTGTTTTTACTGATTTTAGGAAACCTATATTTGCAAATTTTGAAATGTGTTATAATATATATATATATATATATATATATGACTATTTTCCCTAAGGTTGATCCCCAAAGATCAGTATTACTGTGGTGTGCTCTACTTCACTGGGAGTGACATCTTTAATAAGAATATGAGAGCTCATGCCCTGGAAAAGGGCTTCACAATCAATGAATACACCATCCGCCCCCTAGGGGTCACTGGTGAGTATCTGTAATGGCCTTATTGATCGTTCTTTCATCTGGAGAAAAGGTTGTTTCCAAAGATGTTTTAGCTGGGGTTGTAAGCATGTGCCATCATGCCTGTAATCTTAGCACTTGGGAGGTCTGGAGGTAGGATTAGCCATGGCTACTCAGCAAGTTTGAGGGCAGCCTAGGTTACATGAGCCCTGTCTCAAAAAGTAGGTATTTTAAGATAACAAATTCTCAGAAGCTTTCAGTGGCCCTGCCAGTTAATTGTATCATCCTATGTTCTTAATGGCTTTGGGCCCCAGCAACGTAGAGGTAGGTGGGATTAAGTCCTTCCTGCCTCCTTATGGTGCTCAATTAAAAATCTTACTGATCTAAAGGGTTTTGTTTCAATGCGTCTCTGAGATTTGTGAAGAACTTTGGGTGTCACTTCTCTAAGTATCCCTCAGAACTGATGACTGAGGCTGTAATGGAGCGTGTTCTTAGCCTGTAATAAGCCCTACGTGCCATCCTCGCCACCACCACTCACAGGGGAGAATAAAACAAACAAATCACAAAACAATTTCTGGGTAATTATTCTAAGATTAAAGCATAAGGTGAGGTGGCTCTGCAGGTCAGGAGAACTGGTTCCTGCAATTCTCTGTCTTCCGCATGTACTACCGTGTCACCCACATGCCCACATGTATACATATATACATTTACACCACACAAAATTAATAAATGAAAATATTTTAAAATCAGGATTTAAAAATCTTAACATTTCACAGTCTACTCTGTAGTGTCTACTGGGAGAATGAAGTTTTGTCATTTTGTCCTAAAAGTTACATAAAACAGGACTTTTATCTCATGTAGATTGGAGCATTGCTTTTCAAATTGTGACATTCAGACAGTTCACTTGGGTCCTTATTAAACACGTGGGTTCTAATTCCATGGACACTCAAGCATCTGTATTTCCTTTCATTAATTTAAGTTTGGAGACAGGGCATCACTCTAAAGCCCAGGCTGGCCTAGTCGTGTACCAGCACGCCTGGCTCAGAAGTCCAAAACTGTGGTAAGCTTATAAGTAACGCCATTTCTGCTAGCTCAGGAACCACATATGAGTTGATGGTACAATAGACATCTAACAAAAAAGAAAATCATAAACTACGGTGACTTTCTGGTCACAGTTGGGATACCCAGGCTCTGTTTGCAACATGGTAACGCATAACGAAAGATGCATGCACACTCGTGTCAGAAAGCGGAGGCAGGCAGGTTCCTACTCTTTCTCTCTGTGCTGGAAATGAACCTGGGCCTCGTTCCTGCTGAGTCACCACTGATGGAGGCTCTAGGGCCAGGTTAGCTCTCAGGCTGCGATATCAGGTTCCCAAACTCATTGTAAAAATACTTTCTTTTTCTCTCTCCTTGAAGGAGTTGCTGGGGAGCCTCTTCCTGTGGACAGCGAGCAGGACATTTTTGATTACATCCAGTGGAGCTACCGGGAACCCAAGGATAGAAGCGAGTGATGGCCGCCCTCGCCCCCGGGCATATCCCACTAGGAGTCCTAATTTATTTCTTAACCTTTGCTATGTAAGGGTTTTGGTGTTTCTAAGTGATTGCTTCTTCTCCATGCTTACCATACACTATAGGCAATAAACCTCTTGAGCTATTATTGAATGATTATTTTATTAGCAGATTGTTTAAGTTTATATTATGTTTATGATCACAGTTTACCATGGGTTTAGTAGAGAAAAGCAAGAGCTGAGATGATGAAAGTGTTTAATGGGAGTCTTATTTCTGCCTCATCTTGCTTCTACATTCTTTTCTCCTTGTCCCTGATTTATTCTTTACAAGTCAGCTGGCTTTCCCACAAGCCGCCTCTGGAGTTGGTTCGCTATTCTCTAGAAACTAGAGGCTGCCAGCCATGATGGTGCACACCCTTAATCCCAGCATGTGGGAGGCAGAGACAGGCAGATCCCTGTGAGTTCAAGGCCAGCCTGGTCTCCACACCGAATTGTAAGATGCCAGTGCTACATAGTGAGGCCCTGCCCAAGAGATGGGGGGGGAGAAGGAAGGAAGAGGAAAACAAGGTGCCTTCACAGCTGTAACTTTTTATTTGGCCTTTTCCATTTGCAGTGTGTTCTGAGGAACAGCTGTGCGCTTTACCTCAGGCTGCAGCCCTTCCCCTGAAGTGACTCACAGGCGCCTGGGGCTGGGCACATGCATCGGTTTGGCTGGTAGGAAGTTCACTGTCTATCAAAAGATCGTGTTGTACATTAGCATACAAGTTCAGTGTTTAAAAAGATTTATTTGAGCAGATTGAGCACTGTATCAGGGTTGCTTTCTTGTAGAATCTTGTCAGTATTCTAGACAGTAGACACAAAGCCAAAAGTAATTGGTCGCAGTTCAGCATCTCACAGTACTCAGCTGGGTATTTCAGGTGCTGGAAGATCTGGCTTTATTTGTATGCTAGTGTAGTATTCTCCTGTAATCCCAAGACTTGCTTGGGGTAAGAGGATCATGAGTTTGAGGCTAGCCTGGGCTACATACATTGAGACCCTGTCTCAGAACCCCTCCCCCTCCCAAAAAAAAGCACCCAGGAGGGTAGAGGCAGGCAGATCTCTGTAAGTTCAAGGCCAGCCGGGTTGACGGCAAGTTCCGTCCCAGCCAGGGTTGCACAGTGAGATCCTGTCTCAAAAAAACAAAATACAAATAATAATAATAATAATAATAAAATTAAATAGTGTCTGGGATTCTATTTTTACAACTCATATTCTTTGGCATACTCTTAGCCTTGTGTGTTGTCGGTTCCCAGTCACCTGGCTTTGACACACTAGTCCAGGACCACAGTCACAGCGCTGGAAGATTTCTGGGGCTTGGGCAGTGTCTTTATGTCCTCTCCTGGAGCAAACTTGTCCTTCTTGTAGAACCGGCTTGCAAATTTTTGTCCAAAAATGGCGAGCGCAGCAAAGTCCAGGGCCGCAGTCGGAAGTTCTAAGACAGCTTTCTCCCTCCTGTCCTGCAACAAGTTAGGCACTAGTGGCAGCATTGCTCCTAACAGCTCACGGGTTAAGGGGTGGGGTGGGTTATGCTAATGGCTGAGACTGGGGATCTAGGAATGAAGGCTACCACCTAAAAACAGCAACGCCAACAGGACCCATACGTCTCACACAATGAGGGAGAGTCTGCCCCTACTTAACAGAGTTAATTGATGCCTGATTAAAGTCAAGACATCAAGAAAAGAAGGAATGTCCAGTCCTGTTTTGCTAATGTAAATTTTAGTAAGCATAGACTCCATTACTTATAAATGGACCAGCTAATCCAGGGACAGGAGCAAGAATGGTTATTTTACCTCTTCGTTTTCAAATATTATTTTATTCAAAGACTGTAATTTAAAAAATTGAAAAGGCCAGGTGTGATGGCAAACATCTTTAATCCCAGCAGAGGCTGTCAGATCTCTGAGTTCCAGGCCACCCTGGTCTACATAGTGAGTTCTAGGACAGCCAGAGATACATAGATCCTGTCTTGAACAATAACAAAAATCCATTTTGTATTTTTTACAAGGCTGGAGTGAACACATCTACCTTTGTCCACTTTGTATACTGGGGCTATAGAAAGGGAAAGTGGTGCTTCTTAAACCCCAGCCCATAGTGAAAGCCGTGCGTTGAAAGGTTTTCTCCGTAAGTCATTACTAAGGTCTTCCCTGTCCTGGCCGGTGGTGTCTCTTTGAGTTGCTCCAAGACACAGGGTGGAGGAGGAAGTTAGTTTGGGCTAGGGGGGAGAAAACTGTTTTTAAAATAAAATATGCTCAGATTGACGTTCTTACCATTGTTGCTTTGTGATTTCTTAGCAGTGGGCTTCCCCTGGGGTCTGTTTTCTTCCGCTGGCCATTTAGCGGTTTCTTCTGCAGAGGCGCCATCTTGACCATCAGTGTTTCCGCCCATTGCTGGCCTTGTGTCTCCCACTGCAGTGCAAACATCTGAGGGACAGCCAGCTTTAGTTAGTGTTGCTAACTTGAGGGACAAGTACGGGGGTAGTTACTGTTGTCGTGCTAAAGAATTTGGTAGCACTTCTGCCTTCGCTTTATAATAGTTTATATTTCCGAAACATAACATTGAGGATTTATACACGCACATATAGCAAAGAAAGTAATTGATTAATAAACTCTAAACGAAAGTGGAAAGATCCAAACCAGTCTGCCTTGATTATGTCCTTTAAAATCATTCTATCCATGTCACTGGTAATAAATTATTTTGTTTCATCGAAAAGACAGCTGCACAGATTTACTTCCTCCGGTTCCAAGTACACCCTAGAGCCTGCCTCCCATGGACTGTCTATGTGAGTTCAGTGGTGCCTTCAGATTGTAGCTCCCATGCCTTGATAGCTCACCATTCACACAAATGGTTCCCGGGCAGCACATGGCGCTCCTCTGGCACCTCCTGCGAATTCTGCGGCACGTGGCACAGAATGACTTTTCCTCATGCAGCGCGAAGCAGAATCTTCCTACGTTGCAGTCCTTGTCTGATACACACTGTGAGCCCTGTGGAGGGAAACCTGTCACAGGCTGGGAGATCCAGTGAGACCTGGAGGCCCTTCTCCAAGGCGTGGGTTGGGGCCACACTATGCTAGCTGGGATGTTGTGGCAAGCTTTGGGCGCCATCCTAATTTTTCAGCATAATTGCTTGGTTTTTCCCCTCTGGGAAGACCCAGGGATGCTACGGAGCTTGTGCTTGAAAGTTTGCCTTTAATCTGTTATGAACCATACCCCCACCCATATTACTTCAAAACTCAGAATTTAATGCTCCTTGGCTCTATGAAAAATCAGAGTTTTTCCTGTATGTCTTACAGATGACAATTATATGTCCCATTGTCACTACATCCACTCCTCCCCAACTGTCCTTTACGTATGCAGTGTACTCACTACATAGAATATAGTGTGATGTATATAGTATACATAGTGCTAATTAGCCCTAAAACAATTCTGTGATGCAGATGCAGATGTGTTTAAGTCCTAACTTCTGTATGCCTGCTGTGTAGTCTGTGCCCAGATTCCTGTCTTCTTCATTGCTAAATGGAAAGCTTATGCCCATCTCAGGTTGTAAGAAACACAGGTTAGCATAAAGGCCCAGCACATGGTACTGCTTTCATTGTGCACTGATTTGTGGATAAATTTAGAGCCCTGACTAGAAAAATCATTTCCTCGTGGTTTCATATGCAGTCCAGGTTGGCCTCTGACTCACTGTCCGCTACTTATTCTGCATTCTCTGTCTCCTGAGCTTTGGGATTACAGGTATGTGTTCTCTTAATAGTGAATGAGAAAAGAACTGGATTTCAGTGCAAGGCACAGTCCTACATAAATTCACTTAGAGGGGAGGGTGTCCTGCCTGATAGGATGCTGTCTTTGCACTTGGTCTCAGTGTTGCTTCGCCCTAGCCGCACTTACCTTCCCAGCGCCTTGCACATCCATGGAGCTCTTGATGTTGTTGAAATCCAGAACCAGCGCTCCCAAGGGTGAACAGAACCAGCTGAGTCCAAGCAAGGCCACCAGCACCATCCTTCAGTCACTCTGGTCTCTTGAGAGTCCCCGGTACCCCTCGAGTCTTCCCAGGCTGGAATGCTTCAACCTCCTGGTCCTCGGTACAAGCTTCAGGTCCCCTGCAGTGGCCTTTTCTGGAAGAGAATCTGCCCAAGGAAGATGGGTAAAATGAGACAGGCCAGGTCTGACCAGCATGCTTTTCTGAAACTATATATAGCCAGATGTGGCCCTTCTCCCTTCCAACCCGCTTGCTTCCTTCCTCTCTGCCCCACACAGGCTACAACAGATCCCTGCAAATCTTTGATCAATAGTTCAAAACAGGAACTCAGTGAAAGGAGACCAGAGGCAGGGCCACAGTGGCTGCTCCTCCAGGCAGGAATCCCTCTTAATTATTGCATATCAAAGTCAGTTCAAAGGGCTCCCAGGAGAGAAGGATGTTGGTATCAAAGGCAGCTCTGATAATCACCTGCATTTCCGACCCTCAGTCCTTTGGGAGGAGGGGCAGACAAAGATGTGTTTTCACAGCTAGTTGTACTCAAAGAAAGAATGAGTCATATTAGTCAATATGCTGTAGATGTTTAAAACCTGATAATGAATCACTGAATCTACACTGAGTTTAAAGTGGAGAAGGGTTCCTTCTCTTTAGTCTGGACTCAAAAATCCTGATGGCTTCTGAACTGTGAACTGATATCACCTATAAATGTCATTTGGGAAATCAGTCTCCTTACAATGAAAATTAAACTGTCTGGAGTCAGAGTTATGTGATTAGAAAAATAATGGAGTGTATAAACAGATGGTTTTGTTTTCAAACGTTTTAATTATTTTTTTAAACTGATACATAAAAGCATTAATTGACACCTATAGTTCCAGCCCTTGGGAAGTAAGGACAAAGGATCAGGAGATCAAGATCAGCCTTGGCTATGTGCCAAAAAAATAGCCTGTGCCAAAAAAAAAATAACCACTTTTTAACATTTAATTTTTAATTATGCACCCACCAATGTGTGTGTGTGCAAGTGTGTGTGGTTTTGCTCATGTGAGTGTAGTGCCTGAGGAGGCCAGAAGATGGTGTCAGAGCCCCCAGAGGTGGAGTTACAGGTAAGGTTTCAGGGCTCCTTCTCAAGCTCGGCCAGGGCAGGGGGCTTTCTGAACAGCTCCCTTCCTGGTAGTGACACTCCTGGGCTGTGGGATGTCCTCCTTCCTATTTCATCCCAGCATCATTTGCATTGCTAACATCAGCGCCCTAAGGTAACTGAACAAGCATGGGGTGTAGGGGAATTACAGAATCCATTCTGAAGGTAGAAAACTACGACCCATGGAAGAACCCAGCTGCCTCCTGCGTGATGGTTCTGCTTCTTGTTCCTACCTAAACTGCAGAGGATATCAGGGAACCAAAAGCTTTAGGGTAGGAAGATGGCTACAGAGGAGATCCTGTGACATGGACCATCAAGTTCTTGCCACTGACTGTTGGAAATAAACTGTAAAATTGAGGATCTGAAGCCCAAAGGAGGAGGCTGGGTTGCTGTTCTCTTATGATGACAAGCACTGAAAAGTCTAAACGCAGGCGTACTGCTGAGAGGACACGATGCAGACATTCTAGAGAAAGAGGTTGTCCCCGGACAACCAACATTTGAGCTGATTTTTGTGGGATGTAGGTCAAGAGGCACGTGGCAACAGGGTGATGGTAGCAGCACACTCCTTGACTCCCAGCACCAGGGAGGCAGAGCTCTGTGAGTTCGAGGCCAGCCTGGTCTACAGAGTGAATTCCAGGACAACTAGGGCTACACAGAGAGACCATGCCTCAAAAAAACAAAAACAAAAACAAAACAAAACAAAAAGGCACATGGAGGTGCTGGGTTTCTGATTCTAGAGATGAACCTTCCAGGCTGGAAGGGGATTAGGAGAGGCCGGATAAGAATCCGCTTTGAGGAAAGCTCTCCAAATAGCCACCAAGGGTGGGGGCTGGGAGTTGGTGTGTGTATCAATCAAGGTGTGAGATTAACCACAGTCTCTCCCTGAATAGCACTGCATTTTCTGGGACAGAGTGGACGCAGTGCTGGACCAACACTGGGAAGAAAAGTATCTCTTTTACTTCAGTCTGTATCTTTCTGTGTGTATATCTGTCTGTCTGCCTGTCTCTGAACACACACACACACACACACACACACACACACACACCTACACCTGAAGGAATGTGGACTTCAGGGTTAGGCAGTCCCAATTTGGTCACCAGCCTAGCTTCATGGTTCCAATTTCTGTTCCTCAAAACTCACTTAGAAAACTCTCCTCCAGTTGGCTACTTGTTTTTTCATGTAGATGGTGAGGCCTGAGTGAGCAAGGCTCTCAATAATTGATCTTTGGATCCTCAGATTTGAATACTAAGCACATAATAAAAGTTAGAAGAAGAAGAAAAAGAAGAAGAAGAGGAGGAGGAGGAGGAGGAGGAGGAGGAGGAGGAAGAAGAAGAAGAAGAAGAAGAAGAAGAAGAAGAAGAAGAAGAAGA